TGTCCGACAAAATGAAGAGGCGCCTTCGGCGTGCCTAGGGTGTAGAAAAAACGGAAAAATAATTAGCACATGAAAATAAAAGGCGAATAGTTGCTCACGAAAAAACACTCATGTTGGCAAATTTGTTTATGTTCAGACATAGAGAGATTCAAATGCAAACCGGGTCGAATTAGTTTTCAGGAAGAGGGCCGTAGCCGAATTCAAGTAGCCGCCCGTTTGTAGTAGTTACTTTACATGGCAATGAGCGTGGAAAACCTATAGCGCCCTAATCTTAAGCTGACACATTAAAACCTCCGAGAAATTGGAACATGCAAACATTCGAGCAAGGTCAAAGTTTTGTTACCGTAAATAATTACAAGCAGTTACTTTTATTGTATCAAGACCGAAACAAGACATGTCGTGTGAACATTTTGTTTAATCTTCTCAATAGCTTTTATAGGGTTTTTTGCACAACTGCATCGACTTACTGATCACGGAGAGAGTACCACAAATAGCTATTGTTTCGTGTATTGCCACATATCGAAATATATTCGACAAGACAATTTTTATGCAGTTTGTGTTTGACAGGATCAGTTGTGGGTACAGAAACAAAATGAGGTGGTAGAGAATTCCAAACACTACTGTTATAATTCCAGAAGGCGGCGCTGGTAGAGGGCAATTGTTTATTGAGGGTTTTAGATGGGACATCATCAATTTGGCATGCATAACACGAAAATCTAATCAGAAACATACCACCGCAGTTCCTGGCCACATAACGGGTAATGAATGTAGAAATCGATAGTTCTTCTTTGAGACCGGGCAAATTGCCCTCAGTGATCTTGTTGATTTTTGGTCGTTGAAAGTAACCACCAAATACGTTACCTATTACTCACAAGTGAGCAGTATCTCACAACACTACGAACTCTGTGAGCAGATGAATGATGCCGGCATTCTGGTCGACAGTTTCGGAGCACTAATTTTTGAATGAACACCCCCTGAGGTAAGTGCTGGGCGACAACGTGAATAAGGAACGACATGAGTAGTTAGGATTCTGCACTGCTTGATACGCCAGAATAAAATTTTCTAGAATTCGGCGATATTGTGAGGCTTACAAACCCAACAATTCGAGTCTCTCCATGTGAGTCTTGAATTCAGTCCCTTGGCCATTCTGGTAGTCATTCCAAAATCGGATGATCGTGTTGCAGCCTTAGATTCTGCGCTTGAATGGTGCAGTTTACATGCGGCAGAATGCAGGGAGCGCTATCACAAGATAGAGCTCACAGAAGTGGGTCGACGAAGCACGACGAGTTTCGATAGAGAAATTCAAATTAAACTGGGAATGTACAATTAAAGAGGCCGCACGTCACTAAGCAACGAACAATCATCAATAGCACACTGATGAGAATAAGCATTTCCTTTTGCGACACATTTGTACTGTGACTAAAATTTGGACATAAATGCTTAAAAAAGCTGTCAGAAAACAATACTTGCCAACGACAAGATTTCCTTTCATCAATTTAACCGAAAAATATAACTTTATTCACAACTCATGCTGTTACTTTACCACCTTAACCTGAAGCTTGTATTTGCGCTTTGATTAGAACTGTGCGTTCCCTCATGTATAGCGGTTACCAGGATACTACTGCCTGGTCATATTGTTCGTCTTTCATGGTTAACACATAGCAAAATGTAGTCTCGATAATTGTGGGTTGAAAATGGAAGCTGCATCTAGCTTAATAGGGTCATTTTATGATGGGCGTCTCGATCTGCAGCGAAGATCGGATTTGGTGTGAGGTTTCCAGTGGAGTTGACAGACTGTATGCCGTCCCCAGAGCTGTTGGACCAACAAATGACCAACTATCTCTGAGGACGACATTCGAACACATTCAAATTGGTAACTTGGCCCCACTTGGATGTGACCTTATTGGCACAATGGTCGCATAGATACCTTCCATATTGAGTTCAGAGTTCGAAACCCCGATGAGACGATATGCATTACCGATCAGCGCTATTGAAAGAGGAACTCGAGCCTAATGTTGCCCAAATGTTGGATGAGCTAAGGATTGCGTACGAAGACGGAGTTTGAAGGATTATCAATCGCAAAAAGGACACAAAAGTCGACTTTTTATTGTTTGTTCAGGTTTCCAAAGCTATATTTAAACAAGACCTGAAAAGTGACCTATTTCGAACGACAACCAAATGAAATTTATATTTACTGGAACGGCCTTCAAATGTTTTCTTCTCCTTCACGATGACTTATTTCGTGGAAATATGATCATATTATTGGAAAAGAAATCTGAGAGCGATTAAGAACAAAAGAATGGATTATAAAACAATTGCCTAGGGAAATTAAACGTCCAACGATCTATACGAATGGGCACTAAATCAAGTGTTGATGTGAAAGTCATTGCTAGAATCAGCTCAGATAGCCCCATAGCACGGGAGACTCAAAACCCTACAAATCTTGGTTCGGGCACGCATTACTCGTTTCCTCTCCTATTCAAATAAAAGTGGAGAGTCAGGTACAATCCCAGTACTGTGGGATAGTTTTCACAGCATGGATGACGGTGAAATTACCCACCATTAAGCATACAAAGAATTCGAAGGGTATATGAATAATAGAAGTAAATACAAAAATGCCGATTTGCTCGACATTTGCTTTCTTTAAACGTTAATTGTTTAGATTTAAGATCAGTATAGACTCCCGCAATGGTTTTGAAAATAGCAGATAGTATGGTTACGTCTATTCGGTGATGAGAAACGGTTCTAGATCGAGAGAACTTATTGGAGGGGCGGTTACAGTGAACACAGCAGAAGAACAAACGAGTCAACACAACAGCAGGACGAGAGCTTACCGCGGCATCCAAGGAAATGGGCGAGCTTCGCCTGGGTTGAGTCCCACGTGAACTTGAATTGGATACTCTTGCGATCCCCAGTGATGGTGACTGATCCGACTAGGAATGATTAAAAAATAAAGTGAATTTGAATGCTGCATGCTCAACCACGAGTGACGAGTTAACCAATTCCACTTCATCATTTCTAATCCTTTCTAACCGTGAAAGAGTGTGAAGCACTGTCCACGTAGGTGTGACAGGTGCTTTCTAGCTCGAGTCATTTATTCCAGCTTGATTATTTGCAATACATGGGACATGCAGCGGTCGAACGACAACGCTTTTCAACCGAATCGATCATCGTCAAAGATGATGTAATTACCTAAGACTGAAACTAGATGGAACAGTGAAACTTAATGGGATTATTATGATCGAGATAATTCATAGCATTGAAAGACAATCGCAGAAACTAGACCACACGTGGAAACATATGCAGAATATGTTTGGATTTTATATGCATACGTTATTGTGATCAACGGCCAAACCACACAGTCATGGGACGTACAGCCGACAACCAGTTACTGATTAGAATCCAGTCAAGATGTGAACGCTCAGCTCTGGTACTAGTGCAATCCCTACAGCAGAAACACTGCTAGTGTCGGATGCCGAATCGGCTGATACACGAAGGGTGAACTCTGAAGATGAGGTTGGATCAGGAGAACGAAGGGAAATAATTGAAGTAGGGTCTTGTATGCGTGCTTCGAAGGCACACTATAGATCTAAATTTAAAGTTTCAAGGGTCCTAGCTAAGGCAGCTTATTGATTGATCTGAAAGAGTGTACGGGCATTAAATGCAGCCAAGTGAAAATGACATTTTGGTTTCAAATATCTGTTACCTTCTGGTTGCTTGGCCTTTCTAGTTGAACGCTGAGTGATATCCCATGGGTGGTGCAAACGGGAGGGACCTAGGATTATTCGGGATTGAGAGGAAGAACTAAATAGAGGGTTTACCAAATGAGTGCCTCATACTTTAAGGCACGACACCTAGCAGCAGTCCGTACTGAAGTTGTTTTTCTTGGGGAACACTAACCGGAGCCCTCGACTCAAAAGTCTGACCCACAAAAGGACTCGGTCACACTAGACTTCTTGACTGAAAACCCTTAAGCCAATCCGATTGACGGTTGGAAATATTGCGTGAAACGGCTGTGGTAAACAACAGTGCTCGTGTGTTTACTCACTTTCTAGGTAGATCGAATTTTCTTGTTGATGGGATAAGGTCTATTCTCCTTTCATTTTCTTTTTGAACCTAAAACGGCTTCTTTAATCACGCCCGATCCTGATTAGTTCATTTCCTTAAGATTTTGACTTCCAAGCTAATTTATAGGGTCACATGTTGGCGACTAAGAAAATGTACATGAACGGATGAGTTTCGCCTGAATATCTCCTTTGGGTCGAGCTAAATATACAACCTCGCCTGAAGGCCTGTTTTCAGTCTCCCTCTCGTATTCGGTCGAATCTCGGATCGTGCTTAGCTGGGTGTTCCGAACTGACCGAGCTGTGATGCGTATTGCTGTCTCGCTAGTAGGTGCCCGTTCGGTCAGTTGCATCGGTCGGGGTTACTATACCACTCGATCTCTCGGTCTTGGGCTCTTATTCGCGCGGTTATTATTATAATCCTCTCCGTGGAATACAACTTTTGTTTTCTTCATCTTTATAATGTTCACGGGAAATAATTTATAACTCTTCCATTTACTCCTTGCTCAGTAGCCGATCATACATGAAGGTGAGGGATAACAATCAAAATCATCACCGGACAGTGTAAGAATAATGGTTTTAAAAACTAAAGCAGAAAAAACCTTGAATGAAAATTTTAATTGTTTTGAATTACCGATAACTGTTTTTTGCGCGTAGCGCGTAAACAGATGAAAAACACGCTTGGAAAGTGTCTAACATGTCGCCGAAAAAGAGGTACCTGTTTTGGGCTGTGATCATAGCGAAGCGAAAATTTGCTCGTGTTATCCGATTGTATTGAAACACAATAGTTTTGCTTTAGGTGGAAATCACCTTGGTCGAAACAAATCTCCGGTCAACTGTCTGAACTCTTCGTACGTGCGACACCTAACGACTGACAATGTGGTGTTTCTATGTACCACGTAAGACGAGTAACAATGACAGTCTGTGTGAGAATCATCTGAGCTCATTATGGGCTACATTTATTATTTACGCTACGGATTACACTCAGCAGTCACGGGACAGTCACGTGTTTTATTTGCTCGTGCGGATAACAGCTAAAACGATAATGCAATTTGATGGCACCAATATCGTGCCTGGTAGTAGCACTGGTAGGGCTAGCAACACTGATAAATGAGTGATAGGCTAGAAAAGTCAAGTTGGTGAAAACATCAGTTTCACACGTATTTGTACTGTCTTAACTCTTCTCGTTAAGTTCAGTTCAGTTCTCGTTAAGAAAACGTTACGGTAACTCGTTGAAGGAACCGCTTACAATTCCGAGTTTTCTCGTATTAACTGGCAACCTTAATTAGCACTGTATGCCGCGAGAGTGTATGCTTTAGGTTAATCTTGCCCGTAAGCTATACCTGTTCCTTCGAATCAAGTAACTTCAGTAGTGCAGTCACTTCATGAAGTGTATGTCGGTTGTGACATATTCACATCTAGTTTAGGGTATCAAAAATTTGTTTGTATACTTTGAAAAATTGTACTTGAGCACAATAACTTACTTCAGAATTGCGCACCAGAACCGTTTGTGAAGGTGCAGTCGGACGCGCCGTGAGAGATGCTCTTGATCGGCCACGGTTATTGGATCGCAGACGGCGTTGTTCTCGATTGTTCGCCTCTGAAAATATGCGAGCAGCCAGTCGTGATATAGTATCCTGAAGGAGCCTGGTGCCACGATGGCGGCGAGTAGCTTGTCTAGTCATTCGCCGTTGGGTAGATACGGAGATTTCACCTGACAGACGAAAAGATTCATCCCCCGAATCTTCGTCAAACATGATGGAGCCATCTTCCTCGTCCAGATCACTTTCCAATGCCTCGCGATCGGCCAAAGTATTAGTGGTGCGTCTAGAACGCGTCCGACGTTCAGAGGTTCTTTCAATGCCTATTCGGTGGCGCACACAATCGGGGCAAAACCAATCTCCAGGTGGAATAGAAGAGAGTGGATTTGGAAGGCAGTAAGTGTGATAACCACGATCGCAATGATCACACAACAACAATTGATCTTCGTTGTTGGGGAGTCCACAAACCTCACACTGGGTATCTAACATCTCCGGAGGTTCATCTGGAAGCTGTTGAACCGGTGGTGGGGCAACCTGCAAATGCGCAAAATAGTTCACAATTTTAATGAGCATTTTCTTAAGTGGCTTCACCAACAAAAACGGCATTCATATTTATCAGACACGTATATTATATTACATTTTGCGTCATAAAGATGAAATTTCCTGTTACAAGAACCTCCGAAACAGATAAAAAAGATTATCAACCTAGAACGGGTTGATAAACCACATTATTCATCCACGGGAAGGTCGAGTAAGGGACTGGACAACAGCAAAGCTGTCTACGACTTAAAAAACTGTAGAGGTAGTTGGATTTACGCCTTGAAGTGTAAACCACTGGATCAACACGGTCTACTAGCCACCACAAATCAGTCTAAGGAGTTATGTTTCAATCGACTACCTTTTATACTAAATGGGCGAGATTGGATGCTCGTAAGAAGCTTGTGAAGGTAGATTGTGCATGCTGTTCGATACTCATTGGATTTGATGAATTTGCACTGGTAAGGAGACCCTATCAAGTTAAAACAGCTCCACAGTGCCTCAGCTTTTCAGTCGACGCCTCTAATCCTCTGTACGCTTGGGTGATATACAACTGGTGCCTTCTGTTAGCCAAAGCTCAGACTGTAAGACAGTGGAATGGGATGTGAAAATGGCAATCCACTGGTGGATCAGTGTCCAGTTCACTAGATTGCACTCCCTCAAGGTGTTCCGTAAGTATCGATTTCCGATGACGTCTACCAGAACCAGGAAGATAAAGGTGTGATTCATACGCCTGTATTTAGTTGGTTTGGAACTGGGACTTTTCAGTGGTTTTATCAATGATTATTCGATCAACCAGTGCACACCAACCAAATGGCTAGGCTCGACCACACTTCAAAATGAGCAAGCCAAAGATAAAATCATCCCATGAACCGATCGCGCAATAGGAGCTAAAAGACAATGGGCACGTACCGAGATCAGTTTGTTATTCATCCTCTCTTAGTGTATGCTTGTGAAGACTGATCCTTAAGAGCCAAAAACACAAGACCAATGGAGGTATCTGATCACTAGGGTCTACGCTGAATACTCGTTCGCTTGGAGAGTCCGGCGTTCGAATAAAAGAGTCGGACTCCATTGCCTAAACAGTAAAAAGGATCCCAGGTACCTTAACGCCACCGATTATAGTGACTGGGACTCACCCTATGGGGCAAACCACTGAGTAGTCAAAACAAGCGTTCGGTCTTCCTCGTAGACGCTGAAGCTGTGAGTTTATTGGACAGCTTAAAACACGAGCGACTGAGGTGAAATCAGATGTGGAACGCCTAGGCTTAAACTCGGTACACGTAGTCTAGCTAGGGAACTGAGATTGGATCATCACCTGCACCAAATTGACGACCAACCAATGCGCACGTAAAGCTGCCGTTCGATATATCCAGGATGACGACTCACTCCCTAGCAGGAGAGTAAAATGTAAGAAAACTATTCATTAATGATAGAGGTGAAGATGAAGATCGATCCCGATGAGATACAGAGTAGGGAAATCGTAAAAGTTGAGCAAACAACTTCGCTTAACCTGATTAGCATGTATTGTATAACGAAGGTATAATTGATCACAAAGGAGGCGCTTTACGGAAGCAAAAAGAACACGAAAAACTCTTGTTCTTGCATGTTCGACTTACGCGCTTCGTGATGGGGCCACCAATAGTTTCGGATAGGAGAATCAGTTCAAACGATCCCCTATCTAACGGACACTCGTGGCGGACTCTAGACCATTCCCGTAAGCAGGTGTAACAAAAAGTGTGGTTACATGATTCTGGCATAGCAACAGGTGTTTGAAGGGGTTCACAACAAATAGGACACTGATGTGATTCTTTGAGAGATACAACCTTTGTTGCCAAACCATGTGGAATCTTGCGCACGACAATTTCGAAAAATTTGGAAGTGCAATGTGGAGCGGGGCAGTTGTATTCTTCGGAAGATCCATGAGCCACAGTCCAATTCTCAAAACACGTTGAGTGAAACACGTGATCACACCCTTTTGGCGAACAATTATCATTCCGGACAGTTTCATTACACAATGAACATGTTATATCATTTTTCTTTAAATTCATGAAGTCCAACATGATGTAGAACAGGACTACTAGGTTAAGTACTGATGGGATAGCATGCGCACAAGTAACGCGAACGGCCAAACCAGACAGAGCCCTGAAAAACAAAGATCACGTTATCATGCAACAGTGAAATTAAAGCCCACGAAATATATATTTGATAATAATTTACAAAACATGCATAACAGTAAAAAAGATAAAACTCCAGTACGGTGTCATTCAACTCACCCTCGAACTATAGTTTGTAGAATAAGAGAACACATATTTGGTTAGATGACACCACTGATTTGTAACAAATGTGATGACAACATCACCACGTTTGGAATAAGGAACAGGACGATCGACTCGCTAGCTAGCGAAACAGTCCAGATGTATTGTTTCATCATCATTTTCGTTGTGAAGTTAGCTTTCTTGAAGCATGATCACACCTAGTTCAGAAGATTCCCGCTGTTTGGCTAAGTTGGTGAGATCGACCACATTTCCTAAGAGAGATCGGACCTTACAAGGGAGAATGATAAGGATATACAAACCGGAGATGGTGGGTCTACGAAAGAAGTGCTTATGTTCTAGAGTTTGACGAAAAAGGAAGATGTGGTCGATACAGACTCGACCACATCTGAAAACAGCGTGCAACGTTTCCTGCGACAGACAATCGACGGAGTACGGTGCCAGCGAGAAGTCTAGAGACGACGTTGATTAAACTAATTCCTCTGTGGTTTTCACAAGAGGATCAGTTGCCTTTCTTCTAAATTGGTGTGATCACCGATTCACACCATTCCGTTGGGACTTCTTCCCTCTCCCACACTGAATCCATCACAACTTGACTGCACCTTGGCTTGGTGTGATGGCTTGCGCCCCTCAATGACCCTGCGAGCTATATAGGATGGCTCCTCACAGCCGCAGATCCAAACATGCCTGAAAGGTCAAGGGGCAGAGGCCAGACGAAGATCAGTCTCACAAGGCCGGCTGCTTAGGCACCTCCTGGCTTCCTTCTTTTATCCACACCCGCCCTTAGAAAGGTCACCCCGCCAAAAAAACACGAGGGAGTTTACCCGGGCAAAAAGCCGCGAGATTGACGTGGGAGCGGGGTACCTGGGGCTTCCTCTTGACGGTGGGAGAAATCTTCGCACTTCATTGGACAGTTACCGCCTGCCCAAACTGGGCAGTCCCCAACCAGTAAGGTGCTGTCCCGTCCACGGTCCGCTTGTCTCACTGGATGTATGAGAATAAGAACGATTCCCGAACAGCGAACCGATAATCAACCCATCAGCGACAAAACATTGAACCAAAACCCAAAGGAATTGTGTGAGAGGTCTCTAGAAGCTCCCACACTGGTGCTTCGGTCACGCTCCCGCGTTGGATCTACGCCCCACGGCCTTGCAGGTCAAACTTTTGAGTCAAAGGCTCCGGTTAGGGTTGCCGAAGAAAAAGCCTTCGTCAGTGTGGGCAACTGTGAAGTATACCATGCCCCAAAGTACCCATTTGAAAAACCATCTTTCTCAACTGTCCACTTCCGCTTCTCACACTCAAACCTTAGGAGATGCATTCTGTGGGATATCACTCAGCGTTTAACTAATGAGGTCAACCACTCAGAGGCTACCGGATTTTTGAAACCAAAATCTCCTTTTCACTTAGCCGTATTCAATATCCACACACTCTACCAAATCGGTCAACAAGCTGTCTTGGCTAGAACCCTTGAAACTTATAATTTAGATGTACGCTGTCTCCGAAACACGCATACAAAACCCTACTTCAATCATCTCGTTGCGTTCTTCAGATCCAACCTCATTCTCACGCTTCCCTCTACGTGTGTCAGGCGATTTGGCATCCGAATCTCGCGATGTTGCTGGTTTGGGGATTGCGCTGCGTCAAGGCCGAGCATTTATTTCTCGACTGGATTCCGGTTAGTAGCAAACTTAGCGCTGTACGTCTGGATGGTTCAGCTCGGATCAACTAAAGAACGAAGCGTCTATGTTTATTCATCGTATCGGTGTACGCACCGACTGATTGCAGTTCGCCATAAATGAAGGATGAATTCTACAAGGACCTCTTTCAATTGCTCCAAGGTGCTCGGTCAACGGATATCGTGATAGTGGATAGAGACTCCAATGCTCAAGTAGGATACCTGGATGAATAAGAAAAGCTACTTGATGGCTCACATGCAACCCCAGCTAACCGGACTGGCAACGGAGAACACCTAGTCCAACTTTGCGCCGACCACGGACCGTTTCTGTCAAGCACGAACTCCTCGCACAAAAAGCGGCACCGCCTCATATGGAGACCACCAGCTTCTTCACAGAGCTGGACTCATGTCGACCACATCGCCATCAGCCACCGCTGGAAAGGATCCATTGAAGACTGCCGCCCCTACTGGTCAACACCCGTGGACACGGACCATGCTCTGCTACGAGCGAGATTCTCCATACGCCTGATAAACAACCGCAGAAAAACCATCGAAAAACGATGGCCACAATAGAGCGTCAGCCTTCGAAGCGGAACTATCAGATCGCCTCAGCTCAACCATCAGCCGGCGGACCAAGTGAACACTGGATGGCAATCAATGAAGCGATC